AAGACCCAACCCTATTTTTGTCTTTTCTTGATTAACTCCCCTTGAGAGGGAACTTTGCCCTTCATTTTTACAATTTAAACTCCATTTTACACAGGGATGCTTTGAATCAAGTTTGGTTAAAATTTTCCGAGTGATTCTTGGGAAGAAGTCAAAAATGTGAAAAGTTTACAGACGGACAGACACTAGACAGCCGGACGGACGGACGACGGACAAAATGTGATCAGTTAAGCTCACTTGAGCCTTCGGCTCAGGTGAGCTAAAAATGCATCAGAATTCAAGCCTAGGATCGCATAGCCAATAAAATGGTCTTCTTTAAATGCTTTACATGTTGAATATTTCATTCATTTAGAGAGAGAGAGAGAGAGAGAGAGAGAGAGAGAGAGAGAGAGAGAGAGAGAGAGAGAGAGAGAGAGAGAGAGAGAGAGAGAGAGAGAGAGAGATGTCTAACTCCTTGAAGTATTTTTGGAAAGTAATCAGAGGTCATGCTAAATGACAGACTCAAGAACACTTGTACATCTTGTAACAATAATGTCCCTGGTAATTTTAAAACATACATGTAACAGAAGTTGTAGATAGATCTAGGCGTATTGTAATAGTGCCCAAATCCTTCAGCACAATGTTAATGTTCATCAATTTAAGGAAAGAAAACAAATCATGTAGGCTGTATGATTTCCGTTTTTGTAGTTGCTGGATTGGAAAGGGAAAGAGATGCCAGACTTGAGAGTACAAGAACGTTTAGAAATGTTCGCGAAGAGATGATAGGTAAGAAACACAGGCACCTAACGTTACTTATTTTTCTTTAAAGAGGCTGGGGTTGGCAGCCATTTTTAGACTATTTCTATCTCCTTTAAAAGAAGAGCTCAATTTAAAGATATACAATAATGATCAAATTTCTAAACTATAAAATGTATGAATTTTTTCCTTCCCAAATCATAGTTGATAGCTTAAGATACAATGAAGCGCATTGAAGTGGTAAAATTTTCTGTTTGGATGGAATGTTTTGAGCTATCTTTCTTTAGAAAGGAAAAATCGGTCAAATGTTTCAATCGAATACCTGTAGAACAGGTATTCTATGAATATAATAGCCAATGAAATTGACAATATACATATACACCGAGTAAACACGTGTTCGACTGATACATGTGTTATGCTTACTCCAATAAACATGATAAAATCATAATTATTTACAAATTCGTTGCAATGCGTGTTTTACAGAAGCGGGGACTCTACATAGAGCTCTTTCTTATTTAAAAATCTTCAATTCAGTGTAACTCGTGTTGCTTGTCGCAGAATGTGGGGTGTCCTTAAACATTACGACGAATATTTCTTGTTAGTTTCTAAAGAAATGGGCGTGTCATTTTGTTATAATTGACATTCAAAACATGACTCAGAACGTTTCATCCGAAAGAAAAATTTTACCACTTCAATGCGCTTCATTGTACCGTATCTAAAGAAATAAGTTAAATCTGGTAGTTAATTTGTGATTAATTTGTTGACCCCCCAGCCTCCTTAAATAAAAAAATACCCTTTATACCTGATTATTTAAGGAATCACTGTCTAGTTTTGAGGGTATGCCAGGGCATCAACAATAGTGGGAAACATGGGATAATTTGCATAACGGGCGAAGCCCGTTATGCTAAAATTATCCCATGTTTCCCACTATTGTTGATGTCCCTGGCATACTCTCAAAAGTAGACAGTGATTCCTTACATTTCCATTTTTACTTGAAATAACCATTTTAAAATAAATCTAAATACCGTCTAATTGAGTAGATTTGAAATGCACAAGACCCCATGACGTCAAATTTTACTATAAAAAATAGTCCCAAAAAACACGAAACAAATTCATTGATTATTTAGTTACCGTGGTCAATTATCAACATTTATAAAATAAACAACAAAAGAATTTTAAATTATGATCAAAGTAATCTTGTTAACTTTAATTATATATGTGACCTAGATTTAGGTTGTCGGAAGCACGAACATATGTAGGCACTATGTCACTTCTCCACCGCCATATTGAATGCAATGTTGCAGTTGATGAAACGGGAGTTGCAATGGTCAGCATGGTCAGGAAACCGATTTGTATGGATGTTAAGATAACAGAAGAAGTTGAGTTGCGTAAGAAGTTGGGTGGTAATGACTAAGGGACGATGTCTGTATCAGATGATGGAGTACGTGCAGATCCATGTGGCAATGTCAATTTCTCCACGTGGCTGTTTACCAGGAAGTGGAGTTCTCGATCTCGCGAGGCCTCGGTGATAGTGGACAGCGTTGCGCTAGTGACTTGCTTTCGAGCCGAAGATAATTCATTATTTATTTTGTTTGTTAAAAGGATATATCATATCAAATTACTTAGTAAACAATTAAACAAAACATCTATTTTTTCTTTAGTATATTTATACGCAAGTGATATACATGCAGGTTGACACCTGACCTTTCAGTATAGAGAAATATACATACCACAGGGTATTACCATGAAATTAACAAGGTTCACTATTGTAGTGTTTATCATAGAGAAAACAACTGGAAATGGAAATATAAATGTTTATCATTAGGTAAGGGCACATTTTTTTCTTTATTTAAAGAAAAATAAGTAACGTCAGGTGCCTGTATGACATTTTTCATCGTTTAGTTTATTTTTCTCACGCAGGCTGTATTGTATTGTATTGTACATATTTCATGTTTGTACCTTCTCTATACTGTAGTGCAGTTTTAAGAGAATCAACTAGTGTATTGTATTGTGTAGTAAGAAATATAATATATGATTTACATGTAATTGCGGTTATTCAGAAGAGGCATAAAAGAAACATGCATATAACACTTCATCTTCGCTAGCCAAGGGTGACGATCCGCTCCTCTCCTCTTTCACCCTTGTCATCTTCGCTAGCCAAGGGTGACGATCCTCTCAGAGTGAAAAGAGGAGAGGAGCGGATCGTCACCCTTGGCTAGCGAAGATGATAACACTTTGGTTTTTGTTTTCAAAATGTATATGATTTTTATAACCATCATAATTTTTAATGCTTTAAAATTCAAACGATAAACATATTACTTTCAACCAAGAAGCCAAATTAAGCCCTTTTCAGATCTTGCGAAAAGAAATAGAATTCACACCGTCACGTATGCCACGAGAGAAACGTTTGCTTTTTTTCTCTGATTAGATTGGGGTTATGTTGGAGACGGAGTCCGATCCATTATTAATCGCCACACAGAAAGTGAGAGAATGTGGGCGTTGTCAATGTTTCGAAGACGTCATGGCGGTGAGTATGAAAAAGAAAATACTGGCATGAAAGTTATTTTCCTGCAGGAAATTAGGTTGAGGAGATAATATTCGCTGAATTAGAAACCCTGCGATTTCATCATACAAATAATACTTATCACAAGATAATAAAATTTATAACAAAATTGTGCTTAATGTCAATCGATTTATCGAAAATGAATACATACATGTCCAGGGAATTTAATTGTTTTCTATGTGGATGTACCGTTAGTTGCATTTTCGTCTCCTTGTTTTTACAGAAGAATGTACGACGGTTTTGAGATTGGCGAGATTCTTACTTGAAATAGAAGGTAATTATACTGTCATTAGCTGAAGAATGTAAACATGTAAATATATAAACTGTCACTCATTGTCCAACCTTGATTTCTATTATTCAGCAGAACAAGCCATCATCGGAGATTAGAAGTTTTGACTAAAACACAGACACATAAAGATGCTGTGATCCATATTCCAGGAATAGAGGGAAAATGTGCCATATAGTTTATATAGTTTTTATAAAGTACTTTATTTTCTGTTATTACTAATGTGTTTTTTCTTAATTGATATTCTTTGCATGCTTATATTGCTTTTAGTTTTTGTTTATTTTTGTTTATTTTTATATGTTATCTATATTCATTTTCATGCTAACCAAACATTCCAGTTTTAATAATAAATGTTAAAAGAAAAGTAATTTTGCAAACTTACATTTCTTTTTTAATAAAATGTTATGATTTCTTGGAAAAGGGATCTGCTTTGTATCATATGCCATGATACCATGAGAGTTCAAAAAGTCAGAGTTCGACCATATTCAAAGCCATCATATATTGCGTATGGAAACAATCTCTGAGTATAGAATGTTTCTCGACCCCCACCACATCCCCGGTTTCATGAAAAAAATATTATCATTACTTACAATTCAATTTTATGCATGCAATGTCCAAAAAATGAGTTCCATGCTTTTGATATTCTCCTAGATGGATTTTCATATATCTATTGCAAAATGGCAGTGGTTGGCCTTTTTTTTTTTAGCTTTTGAACATGAAGAATTGCGTGAATTTTACTCCGGTTGGGCAAATTTGCAGTGATACAGATCGTTCGGCATTATAGTGTGGACGTGTCCTATTCCTGTGAATCTATGCAAAACTGACATCCGCCACTAGTTCTTTTAATTTCTATAATTGATGTAGGTACATATGTTGGTCCTCGTTGAGTTTGTAATGATGCTTGTGAATGATCGAGGCTAATGTCGTGCACGGACCTAGATTTAAGATTCGCAACATCGTTTTCCATAGGAGACATTTTTTTTGTCCATTTGAATTGCAACTAATCGTAGTAATTCCACTGGAATTAAAACAAAATTTTTGACTAAATATGAATTAACCAACCATCTCAAAATGGATCTGCTCTTGTTTAATAACGAACGATAAAAAGCAGCTTTCTGATAGCAAGGTACCATAAACTATGCAAACATACTTTATTGGGTGTTCTGTTCATAACATTATGTGCGAAAGATGGACACAGCTACATGTATTTTAATAGTCCTTTTCAACATCGATCTCCTCCCCACAATGCAGTCTTTTTTTAATGACTAATGAGTGTTCATATAAGTATAATTATAAACTATTAAGAGGGAATTAGAAACGATCCTCTTGCAATACCCCTCCCGCTTTTTGAAAAAAAAATGGATAGAGCTGAGGGAACTTAATCAATGATAAAAAGATAACGTCTGCACAATTAAGCTGCTTTGTAGGATTAACATGTCAAGTTTATCTTACCAGCACAAAAGACACTTATCACTTACTTAGATCTAGAGCGTCCAGGAACTATATTACTCTGTGTAACATCAAATTCGCAGGATTTTATAATTTTATAACACGGCAATATACCCTTTATTTGCCAAAAATGATCAAACACAACACTTAACAATTTACGATATCCACGCCGGCCGAATTTATAAGTGCAGTGTACAAGGAGAATTTTTTGGTGACTACGAAGTTTATTCAGGGTTGAAGATAAGTTAACAATGAACCCTGTGCACCGACAAGCTAGGAGAAAACTCTTACTATGGACGCTTATAGCGGCCGCCGTGGGGTTAGGAATCGGTATGATAATTGGGAGATTTGGATTCTGTACGGAGGATAATAATGAAAATGTTCCAGGGATACCAGAAAGCCTTGTTCAAGATGGAGACCCAACCATCTCCTCCGAGATCATTAGTCAGATTAGGAGCGAAAATATTAGGCAGTATTTACGGTAATATATTGTGATTTTCTCTTTTTCATTTGACTTGTTGGTTAAAAAAAAATAAGAATTTGTCATATTCATTCAAATGTTTTTGGTTGCAAACAAAATTTGATGAATACGCATTTTTAACCACAGCGAGATCCTATCAGTTGTGTTTTGAACGTGTTAATTTCATTAATATCATATGCTACACTGACAGTGTACGTATCTTGTCAAGATAATGCACCCTTTTGAAACTCAGCACACTATTGAAAGATGTGAGATATTCATTTTTAGGGGAGACCAATAAAAATGTTGTTGACTTTACCTTGCGCATGTACTTTGTATATTTATGACAAGTATATACACACAATTATCCCAAAATAAAGTGTAATTTGTTAATAACTAATTATGTCAAGATATTAACAGTACGCAAGAGAAACATAATGACTAGAGTCTTTTTAAAGAATAAAACTACCCTATTAGTTTATTTTATCTGTCCTACAAAGATTTTTTTTTACATTTTGTTGACATATTGTCGAACCCTCCAAGATTAAAAAAAGTTTGTTTAAAACGAGTGGGAGTTATTCTCTTAATAATTTTTAGTATGTCCCCCCCCCTTCATTTCTTCGTTTAAAAAACGATACATCGTGCATCGTACCGGTAGGCACTGGCGGATTTAGAGGGGGCGCCCCATCCTTTTATGTCTAAAATGTACATAAGATTCAATAAATCTTTTTTTTTTTGGGTGTGTGTGGGTGGGTGGGGTGGCTGTGGGCCCTTACCCCAATCCAAAACTGGTCCACCCCTGGATCCGCCACTGCTACCGACAGCTTGATTCTCTCTCTTGTGTTGATCTTTATCTTATCAATGCAGAATCACGGTTTATCTCAAGACGATATATTTTCTCCCGTTGCTTATTCAATGCATTTATGCCACAACAGAGGACAGGTTTTTGGGGGTGAGCCATGAGCCCTATCTGACATTCCTAAGTTAAGGTGGATGTCAGACCCTATAAATATGTTCCTGACATTGTGAGATACCTTTGTCCCTGTATATCGACAGGGGTGATGTTTAACTGAAAACATAAGATGGTACATGCAGTTGAATTATTAGTTTGTGTTATCTAATGGACATCCCCGCCAATATCGCTAACGGACTGAATCAAAGTACTAAAAGTACTGAACTTAGGAAATTTTAAGAAACATTTGCCTTTCAAACTGGTTGGAATACTCTTCTGAAGATGAGTGCAATATTACTTTTGTGATTATCCTGATATATACATGAACACCAGAGAATTCATTCATCATAAACTACAATGAAAATGTACGATCCTCTTCTACTTCGATAAAAAGAGCTATGTGTATAGATTTGAAATGGAAAAATCTCACTGTCTTTTTTGGATAAAAATTGAAGAAGACATCTTGTCTTTTTATATGATGTCTACCGGTAATTAAAAAAAATCGGTGCAGTTTTAAAGGCAGGATAATGCCAATATTTAAAATACTTGATACTATTTTTTGATACTATACAAGCAATTTCAAACATTGAAACAAATGACAAACTGCTATTTACTAAGTATATAATATAATTCAGAGACCAGATAAAGATGAGATTAACTATTTTGTAATGAATATAAAAGTGTCAAGAGACTTTTCAATATGTTACATAATTTAGCTGGTCAGAGATATTTATTTTGAAAATAGTACTGTGACAACCGCGGTTTACGTCATTGATTGACATTGAAAATGAATAATTATTTTAATGGAAAACACAGAAAAAATATTGTACGTTTCTTTCTTTAAAAAGTGAACTCTCCAGAAATCCTCATCTTGCCGGAACAGATGCAGATTATGATCAGGCCAAGGATCTTCATGACTTCTGGAAATCAGCAGGTCTTGATGAAGCGTTCATCACACCGTACGACATACTGCTGTCCTACCCGGAAACAGAGGACGAGAGCAAGATGAACCAGATATTCGTCTACGATTCTTCTAATAACACTGTGTGGGAGTCCGCCTTGTACGAACCCATCCTGGACCCGAGCGAAAACAAGTCAAATGTTGTACCTCCATTTAATGCCTACTCTGCACCTGGGGATATAAGTTCGGTAGGCGAAAATTCAGTGTTTTTGATAATATTTGATAATTTGCATAAACTTTAAACACACATGTCACTTTTAGCAATACAAATCAATGAGTTATGACACCTTGGTTTTTTTTTGTTTTTTTTTTGGGGGGGGGGGGGTGGGGTGGGGGGTGGGGGTGACGTAGTTTCAAATGTAACAGTGTAAATTATTTGATCGTGGGATAGATTACTATCAGTATACCCATCTAAAAAACATTATGATTAGTATTCTTTTACATTTGTTAAGAAATGAACTTGAAGAAAATTTGACGATCAGATATTGTTTTTCTGTAGACGGACCTTGTGTACGTAAACTATGGACGGGTGGAGGATTATAGATGGCTGGCAAACAATACGAACATCAACGTAACAGGGAAAATCGTACTGGCTCGGTACGGCAAAATCTTCAGAGGTGACAAGGTCTGTAAAACGGGGGGTTGTTATGGACAGGAACACTTCCCTCTTTGATATATACTCTCCAGGGATTATTCTTTTCCGCCATTTTTCTTCTCCCCATAACTTTTTTTTTTTACAATTAATAATCCCTATATAAAGATTTTTAATAATATTTATACTTAATGCATAATACACTTAAAGTATGGATCCAGCAATACAGAACAATTATTTTTTATTTGATATACAGATACATTTTGTTAAAAAACTTTTTTAAATATGAAATATAACAATAAACCATTTTTTAAATCACCAGGTGAATATATACTAGAAGACTAGTACAGGGGGGGATCCGTCAAATTTGAGGGAAAAAGCATTAGATTTTGCACTTAGTAGTATTAAACAATTTCCCATATATTTCTTTATATAAGGTCAATCAAGCATACCTTCATGGGGCTACAGGAATAATAATCTACTCTGATCCGGCGGACTACGCCGTGGACGGTGAGAATTCCCAGGTGTACCCCCACGACTGGTGGCTCCCAGACACGGGCACACAGCGGGGGACGATATTTCTCGGGAAGGGAGACCCTCTTACTCCGGGATACCCGGCTACAGGTACAGTAAAACTCGGTTATTATGAAGTCACTGGGACCTTTGAAATCACTTCGCTATATCCATAATTCATTATATTCGTATAAGAAATTTGTTTTATTCATATAGCTGGGGATAAAAAAAAACTTCGCTTTATCCTTGATTTTGCAATATCCGTGTTCGTATTAAACGAGTTTTTAAAGACGAATGGCATTCTCTAATGTATACATTAAAACACGGTTATATCGAAGTGCCAGGGACATACGATTTTGCTTCGTTGATTATTAGCGTAATTCGTTATCCCGAGCTCCCTCAAGTTTACAATATATAATAAAGCTACAGGAAATGAAAATCACAGTGACTTCACTGTAAGCGTCAATTCATTACAAGCATGTTGGCTATAACCGAGTTTAACTGTATTGCATGGTTTTAAATTACAAGCTCTTTACTGATTTCACTTGCAGAGAATGCATACAGATTGAATGAGAGCGATCCAGAGGCAAAGCTTCCCAAGATTCCGTCTCATCCGATTGGATATGGTGTTGCCAAAACACTGATTGGGTAATTTATTGGAATGATTTTAAATCAAATATTTTTCAAATATACCGGTATATGTACTTCTGATATCTGTGAAACAATGCATGTATCTTTAAATTTGATCCAACCTGTCCGTGTTTTAAGCCCCTTTTCACATATTTTCATTTATATATATATTTTTTAGATCGATTACTGTGTGTTATTTTCAATCTTCACATTTATATGTTTGAAGTAAAGAAATGACTTCCTGTTTATGTCACTTAAAACAGATACATGAGTGGAGATGAGGTCCCACAAAGCTGGAAAGGAGCCCTCAATATAACTTATAGATATGGCGGACAATTAAGTAACTCTGGATGGTATGTGAACATTAAATTTTTTAAAGAATAATTATGCTGTATCGATTGTAATATTTAATTACATTTTCATTTTTCTCTCTTTAGGCGGATAAGAATAAGAATTTCTACGAAGAATAGTAAAAGAAGAACCTACAATGTTTTTGGGATCATCCGTGGAAGAATTGAACCTGGTCATCTAATAAGAACCTTTTTTTAAATAATTAAAAACATTAGTTTTAATTTTAGATAAAATTAACATTGTGTCCTTTACTAGCAATTTGCAAAATTTTGATTTCTCAGATAGGTATGTGTTGATGGGCAACCATCGTGACGCGTGGGTCTTTGGAGCAATCGATCCCTCCAGTGGAACAGCGGTAATGAAAGAGGTGTCCCGAGTAATGGGAAATCTTGTTCAAACAAGTGAGTTAAAAATGAACAAACTCTTTTAGAAGTTTTATTGATTATCAGACTGAAACTTACACATACAATGTAGAATTAAAATAAAATTATAACAAAATATATTTTTTGCAAATCCTTTCAAAAATAGCAAAGTAAATATTTATTTGTTTTGAACACCTTATGCCGATATGACCTATTCTGCTATTTTAGAGAATCTTGATCTATTTTCTTAAATCTTGTCTTTGTAGACAGGTGGCGCCCACGTAGAACGATTGTTTTCTGTAGCTGGGGTGCGGAAGAGTATGGGCTTATAGGATCTACAGAATGGATAGAGGTGAAATAAAATACATTTTTTTAGCATGAAACTTATAGAAGATTTTGCTTTCAAAAATTAGAAAGTTCATTGAAAATGATTTTTTTTAATGTAGCAATATGTGAAAAATCTGGGATCGCGAGCAGTTGCCTATTTAAACGTGGATATTGCAGTGCAAGGTACATTAAATGAATTTCTCCATCTTTTTTGTGTGTTTGTTTTTGTTTTGTTCTTTGTTTTTGTCTGAGGAACATTAAATGAAGATTGAAAAAAAATAATAAGCTTTTTTTCGTAATTAGGTAATTACTCGCTTCGGTCCCTTGGTACACCGTTGTTAAACTCTGTTATTTACGATGCTACAAAGAAGGTTCCAAACCCGGACGAGCAGGAATTATCAATTAAAACCGTTTATGATAAATGGTTGGCTAGTTTTCCAGACACAGACAACAAACTTCCAAGGTATAATTCTTGCCAATCTGACGTTGTCAGTAAAATATCTTATATTTCACGAAACTTTCAAGATAAAAATACCGGTACTAGGTATACAGTTATAAATTCACGGATTTTATTTTACGGTTTCAGAATTGCGGACATGGGGTCTGGTAGTGATTATGCCCCTTTCATCCAACGTGTTGGTCTACCCTGTCTGGATATTCGATACACATACAATTCAGTGAGAATTTAAAAATAAATCAGGAATTTCATATATTTTATCACAAGCGTCATATTTTCGTGGAAAAAAGAAAGGACAGAATAGTTATTTTCATCTGCCTTACTATAGTGTATGATTAAACTATCTGTGAACAATTTTTTACAGAACAAATACAAAATTTCTTCCTACCCACTTTATCATTCAAAATACGAGACCTTTAAGGTGGTGGACGAGATTATGGACCGCGGTTTCAAGGTAACAACTGTTTTCTCCGATTCATTTTTGAACAAAGTGAAAGAAATTGCATGAAATTTAGCATAAAGAAGTTTTTTATTCTAAACTTGTTTTACAAATCTGCATATGCAGAAAAAATTCAAAGAAAGACAAGACTTGTTTTTATCATCGAAGTTGTAGTAATGGCAGATTCCTTTCGAATATAGCGTCACCGGGCAGTGGGACAAACGTGGGCGGAGTTAGCACGGAACCTTGCTGACTCCCTGATTATTCCATTCAAAGTTGAGGACTACTCCCTTAAACTGCATAATCTTATTAAACAACTTGATTCTGATTTTGGAGACTTAATGAGCAAAAACGGGATTCAATTAGGCAAGACTGAGACTTTTGATCTTTTTTCACTTATATTTTGATTGTTAAACATCTTTCTGAGGAGTTCTATTTTTTTTTTTTTTGATTTAGAATTACTTTACAACGCTTCAAATTTGTTCACGTCTGAGACAACAGCTTTTCAGAAATCGGTTGACGCAGTAAACAAGTGGGAGTAAGTTTACACGCAGTGTAAATATTTCAAGATGCAGAAACTGTATTTAAATTTTGAAAAAAAAAATAATCACGTAAAGTTTTATAGACCAAATATTATCTTAATTTTTATAGCCCATTCGCTATTCGGAAAATAAACGACCAGCTCCTTCAGTTAGAGAGAGCATTCATTGACCCCCAAGGTTTACCAGGGCGCCCAGTGGCCAGGTATAATCACATGTTTACTAGTCAAAAGTTTGAATCGAATCGTAAACTTTTCAATTTGAAAAAAAAACGCAAATATTTATGTTATTTTTCAATCAATTTATTCAGACACGTCCTTTTTGCGGAGAGCAGTGTAAATACATACGCTGGTAGCAGTTTTCCGGGACTGGCGGACGGAATGTTTGAGATAGAGGGCAGTCCAGATGAACAAAAGAGATGGGAAACAGTGAAGAAACATTTTACCGTCATTCTCTATACAATAGAGTCAGCGGCATCTACTCTTCGTGAAACGTCTAGATTTATGCCAATGTACACGTAGCAAGGGACAATCTTTAAAATATTTTAAATTCTATTTCGTTAAAAAATAATCTTAAATTTCATTATTATCATTTTCTTGTAAATATTCACATCATAATCAATTTGTGCACCATCATATGTGTTTTCACTTTTTTTCCCCGTGTTTTGTAATGGTTGAGATTTTCAGAAAAACCTCATAAGAAATAAACCTGTAAAATATGAAAGCCCTAGTGCTTACTGTTCCAAAATTATGTCAGGGTTTTTTAGAAGTGGGTCAACCTTTAATGTCAAGGTCAAAAGGAAAAAATTATCATACCCATTGGAAGGGCTTGTCATAATAACTTGACATGTGAAGTATGGAAGCCCTAACAATTGACTGTTAAACAGTTATGTAATTTTGTGCAAAAGTGATTCAAAGTCAAGAGGTCAGATTTGGTACCCAAAGAGAAGGATTCAAGGAATACACTTGTGAAATATGCAAGCCATAGCCCCATCCACTCATGATGGGTAATGGGCAAGGAATTATTACATTATAAACTGCCTTAATATATGATTTTTGGCCAAGTGACCTTGAAGTTTGACCTACTTATTGTAATTAATATGAATAATGTAATTATTACCTTAAATTGGACAAAACTTTTGAAAGAGAAAAGATAGGGCTCTCATATTGCACATGTGTACATGTATTTCTTGTGACAAAGCATTTAAAAATATAACACTATGATTTTTTACCCCCTGACCTTGAAGTTTGAGCTACTTTTAAAAATTTAACCCTGGTCATAACTTTTCATGAGAAAAAAACAGAGCTTTCACATGTACATGTATATTACTTGTGACTAGGCCTTTCTAGAGACAATATGATTATGCTTACGCGGGTTATGTATTTTTTCTGCAACAGCTGCTTCCGTTCATTCCAGTAACAACAAACAAAGAAAGCATCTTATTGTTTGAATATACTTTTACTATTTCACAACAAAACGTTCAGAGACTGCACATACTACGATTCTTGTCTGATATTGAGACCAAAGATAATTTTGCCTTTTTTATATTCGCCTGCCAGCAATAGCCTTTCCTCAACGAATATAGAACATTCTTTACTAATCACTGAAAGAAATAAAATACGACGTTACGACACCATTTTCCTTGCAACTGATTACTTTCTCCTCAATCTTATTAATATTTATAGGTCAATCGGACATTTTTGGTTGGTGAAAATTTACAAAATAGCGACAACGGATCTTTAGCCCTTCAGTTCTACTATTTATTTGTAACATTTAAGTTAGGCCAAAATAAAATTATAGGTTTTTTGGAATTGCCTCCCGCCTCTTTGAAATGCCCCCTCCTGAAAAAATTTTATTGACCAAAAGTTAGAAGGTTTTTTTATTTAATTAATTTTTGGTCCATTATATGCATCACATACACCATACAAAACACTCAAAAATAGTGTCAGATCAATGTAAAATTAGGTTTATTTGTTGATGGTAAATATTTTTTTTTAAAGTCAGAAAATGTATTTACTGTTTACTGAGATTTTTATCAGAAATTTATCTTCAATAAAAAAAAATATTTCCCTCCCTCCCTCCTGTGTCTGAAACCCTTCAGGCAGCAATTCCAAACAAGCAATTTTTAAGGATTGTCTCTCTTAAATAAGAGACATCTTTGTATTTTTCAAAGATGAATTGTATATTTTTACGAGTAAATAACAAAACGGATGGAATTTCGTTAAACATCGCTAAAACTTTCTTACGTAGGGTATTTGAAACATTTTATGAATAAAGTTTACAAAGCTCTGGCATGTGCATCTTATACAATCTAGGGTGGATGGAGGAGGAGAGCTTATAAAGCAGGGACCTGGAAGCGCCTTCACATTCCGCTAAAGACAAAGCCCCTGAAAGATGTTTTTGAGTCTCAAGTTACTCAGGTTGGCCAAAATGGTTTTTTTTCCTGAGAGAAAGTTTTTTTAATATATCTTTATACCTATTGTCATTATTGATAAAATATTATAAATCAAACAAAATTCAGTGATCAATAGAAACACATACATGTACCGGTGTTATACATACTGCTGAACACAGTTGCAGTCTGATCTGATTTTTTATTAGAAACTCACGGACAGGACGTTTACATACCAAAAGTTTTAAAGAAAAAAATCATGATACTGCAATCATTACAAAACAAGAGGCCCCTAGGTCACATCTAGGTCACATCGCTCACCTGAGTAACTTTGGCCATTCTGTCATTTGACACCTTTCCCCCCTTTGTAATACCTAACTTGACCCTGAAATTCCTAATAGGTCATGATTAAAACAATTTAGAATCTACACTACCCCAGGATGCGTTCACGTGAGTTTCAACTTTTTAGGCCATGTGGTTCTTGAAAAGAAGATTTTTTAATGATCCCACTCTATTAGTATTTTCTTGATTATCTCCCTTTGGAAGGGGGCTTGGTCCTTTATTTTAACAATTAACTTTCCCTTCACCCAACAATACTTTTTACCACGTTTAGTTAAAATTGGCCCTGTGGTTCTTTAGAGGAAGTCTAAAATGTGAAAAGTTTACAGACGGACTACAGACAAAATGTGATTAGGAAAGTTGAGCTTTCAGCTCAGGCGAGCTAAAAAGCTTCTTATTTTCTGGTTTAAGGAAATTAATTTTGTTAAATCAGTATCTGACTAAATGTTTTCCCTTGAAATTAAAGAATAATATTTCTAGAATGAAGACCTTTCTCGGGGATTGAAGTAGGAATTGCAATTTATTTCAGCTTGGGGGTATAACGGTAGACAATATGTTGTTTCTATGCTTCGGAGTACATACTATAGGTAGCCCTTTCCGTCTGTCTGTTTTTCCGCAATAACTTTCACCTTGCTCATACCTTTTAAGTAAATGGCAATAGGAATTTCCTATTTCACAGGAATATTCCTTGTGACAGGATCTTTCTTTGAGTAACACAAAATTTGACCTATTGACCTTGGAGTTTGACCCATTTTACACGCATTCTCAATTTATAGTCACAAATCGAT